AAAAGTTTGAAATATCCAATAAATTTCGTTCCACTTCATGATTGTGTCCCACTTGTTGATTCTTCACAAAAAATTACAGTTTTATATCTTTATGTTTGAAGCCTGAAATGTGGCAAAAGGTCGCAAAGTTCAAGGGGGCCGAATACTTTCACAAGGCACTGTACGTAGATGAAGAAAGAAATGGATCTGTAATTTAAGACTTGGAGTCTAATGGCGGTCATGGAAGATAAACAGAGAAACAAAAGAAGAAAAATGTAGAGGGAATCTACGGGCATGTAGTACACTGCAAGTGTATCTGTGGTTATGTGTGTGAGCATATGTGTGAGGGTCACGACGGGAGCAGTGCTGAGTTGGTTTTCTGCCTACCTCTGTATTCTAGTGCTGAATACAGTTGATGTAATGAAACGCTGCAGAGCAAGTAAAACTCTGGGTTGTAGGATTTCATTCAGGAATTATGTATGTACTAGAGAGAGTTTGAATTACAGTATACATGTGTGTATGTGTACATGTTATTCTACGGTTGTGTGGACAAATTTTGCTTCGATGGTGTGTCACCTGAAAATTTTTTACCCTGTGCAAGCCCCTACCACATTTTGAGCTTCACAGCTACTACAACATGAAACAACAAGACAACGCAAACCCTTTTGTTTTGGTCCACTCTCATCCACAACAATCATGGCTGACCATTTCAACAAAGCACACCTCACTGGTAATTTGGGAAGTTACAAGCTTAGGTAGAGCAAACATGTACCGCAGCCACAGCATGACGGCTCACGCCGGAGCAGGAGTCACTGCTAAACACTCCAGTTCAGTTCTAGGATGTTGGTGAGTTTTCTGGTGTGTTAACTCAAAATAATTCTTTTTCATGAGTGATTCAACCATTTTTTTCTGTTACAAATCACAACAAAGCAGTTCTTAAGGGTTGAAATCAAAAGTAATCATTGTTAAGAAATGTTAAGTACATATATCTTCCTGTTTGTTCTGACTTGTACTTATTTAGTAAAAACTGCAATTACCATCCATTTCATTACAGTGAACCTTTGGTAGCATTTGTCATTACTGTAATTTGATTTCAATCAAACAACCTAACAAATAATTAGTCAATTAGGAGGCCTGTGTCAGTCCCCTTCAGTGCTCTACTCCATGATTCTGTACATTACTATATGAGCTGAGTCATACAGTTTCAGCATACAGTATTGGGTTACGTCAAAATAACATACACAGTCTGGTGGGAATGAATGCTAATGTTAGCACTCTAGATTAAGTGGATCCTACTTTCTGAATGGAATATAAAGTTAGCATAAATTACTAAAGGTAAATTTGGAAGCCTTGCATCAACACCCAATGTTATTATTGCCCTGGTTTCTATTCCAACATCCTGTTCTTCTGTCTTCACAGCCTCAGGAAGCCCACGAAGGCTCCCCCCACCTCTCTGAAGGATTAGGCCTAGCAGAGCGGGATTTTGGTCCTGACACCCTGGCATTATGTGAGAGAGACATAGGAGGCTGTGACGCATCTGATAAGCATTTTGACTCCCACTCATGGCATAGCAACACCCTGTCAAATTTGGGCCCAGACAGGGAGGACTCTGCGGACGCCCTGCTGGGGCTGGAGGAGGCCTATGCTGAGCAGCCAGCAACAGGCAGTGGCTTCCACACTGGGCAGAGTAAGACCCAAAGGAGAGAGTCAGTGACAGTCAAGGACAGCCACAACCATGTCTCAGAGACTCATGTTGAACATTCCAGCTGCAGCAGGAGGAAAGGCCCACAGAACCACCTGAACCCTACTATTCCTGTTGAGAGCCAAACCCACTCAATTACAGAGGAATTAAAATTCAACTTGAAACAAGGACATTCCAGTTCTGTTTGCACAGAAACTCAAGTCAAGGGCAGCACGCAGCCATACAGTTTACATAATCAAAGCCAACACAATACAGACATCTTTGACATAAAGATAAACACTCCACCAGACACTCAGGAAGTGAAGCAGCATGCACAGCTAGAAAAAAGCAATCCCATCAGTCTGAATGAATCAGCAGAGTCAGAAAGATGCAGGATACATATAGATGCCCCAGAGGACAAAACTCTAGAGACGCACCAGCAAGAAAAAATAGAAATCTGTGATTTTCAGAATGAGGAAGTACAGGATATTGAACTACTCAGCACTTACTTTGTAGAGAAGAACACAGGTTTAAATAGATACAGTGAAATTATTGACAGACATCCCAGCCAGGGAAAATGTTTAGCACACCAGAGCATAAATAAAGAAGACAAAGAAATACAGGGTATAAAAGTGCACAGCAAGGACAAAAGGGACATATGTGAGAGTGTGGGGACATATTGCAATCGAAGACATCATGAAACATTTCACAAAATAGCAATTAACTGTAAAGACAGCACATGCATAGCTGATTCACATTTCACTGATGTAATAAATGCTCAAAAATCAGACATTATCTGGACACCAGCACACTCTACGTCTGAAGCAAAATGCACAGAATCTCAGTTAATTACAGAAATTGTTGTAGCAAGTCCAAACATCACAGAAGCACATGACACAAAGACTAATTTTGCATCACATAATGCAAAGCTAGAGCACAGAGACACAGAGATTTGCTGTTCACAAACTGAGTGTGAGGACAGCTCCAACACAGGGCTGTCAGAGATCCACCTTCAAGTTTGTAATAATGTAACAACATCCCAGGACACGGCAAGGGTGTTGGGTGTCTGCTTCCAGTTGGAACAGTGCGAGTGTTTTGGTGCTACAACAGAAGGGACTAAACCACCTGGGACAGTAAATAAAATCTGTTCCTCAATCTCCACAGAAACCACAACCTCCTTTTCACTGGATACCTGTGCTAGTGAGCTGACTGTGGTTTCTGAACAAGCCTCAGCTGTCCCAGAGGTCTCTGGGAGGCAGCTAGATCAAACACAACCCGAGAGTGCAAGGTTACAACTATGGCAAGTTCCAGGTCAAACTCAGGATTTAATCTATAATCACTTGGATCAAAGGCATTCAGCGGTAGAAAATCCCAGTCATAGGCAGCTCTATTGTGTGGACACGTTTTTGGAGAGGGACCGGTCACACTGTGTAGACTCAGCTCACATCCAATCTGACACTGATAAAGGGTCTGGGGAATGTGTGCCTCCTCACCCATTCTTGAATAACCTGCTGTTTTTATCTGGCAACCAAGGAGCAGAGTATACCTCCCCTCTGTTATCAGAGGAGCTTCAAGGAGAGAGGGGGAGGGTAGATTCACCCTGCTCCTGTCTCCAGCAGAACAAGGAATGGGAGGGGGAAGCCAGTTGTGTCTGTCTTAACCAGGAACAAAGTATGGAAGCAAAAAGCAAAGTCAGTCTTCCACAATCGCAACTTGGCACAACAGAGCTTTCTGAGAACAGTCAGGTGACAGGTATTCCCAGAGCAATTACTAGTGAGTCTGATGGCTACTTCTTTGCTCAGCATGTGCCTAGTAACATAGGAAAACCATTAACATGTCCAGCTGGTACTGGGTCCATTAAGGACAGTAGCCAAGAACATCCTGGTGTAGCTGAAAAGACCATTCACCCAGCAATACAAACCCCTGTCAACACAATTTCTAGTCAGTTTAAACAAGTTCAGCTGGATCTGCCCTCAAACTCTAACCATAATATCACAGCCATTATAAAAGGGGTGGGGAGAGTAAGGGGTGTAGGTAGTTCCCCCCTGATTGAGCCATCAACAAATGTAACTCTTGACTTTTTAGAAGATATAGAGAAGCCTGAGGAAGATTCTGCAGTGTCCTCACCTTCACTGTATCACAGACCCAGCTGGAGCAGTGAGGACTTTCAGCCTGTGCTATGGAAAGAGCTTGACAGCCACTGCCATTTGAGCCTGAATGAACTAGAAAAACTAAAGACAGAGAAAAGTCAGGAGTTCAACTGTTCTCAGAAAGACTCAGAAAGAAATGAAGGCCTTAAGCCAATAAGTTCATTTAAAGAGGAGAAGAAACCAGTAGATCACAACTTACATAACAGAAGAAGACACAGCTTATCTGACTCACTGGAGGAATATTTTCTTGCTGAGAAGGGCAGAGGGGAAACACAGATCAGCTTGCCAGCTCCTGATGTCAGCCTCAACCTGCTCACTGTCCGAAGTTTAGAGACAAGTAAGAAGGCTGAGCATGCACTGGAGAACTGTGGCACAATAGAGGATGATTTAAATATAGAAACAAAAACACAATATGAGATAATGAGGCCTGCTGAGGAAGTCAGGGATATTGATAACCTTTCAGGACACATTTCCAGTTCCAAGAGTCCACACCATGAGACAGAGCTGAAAGAAATATATGTAACCACTGCTAAGTTAGAACCTGAAGTGAACACAGCTACCCCTGTCCTATGCAGTAGTAGCAAACAGCACAGTAGACCTCTGACTGTTGCCTGTGATGCTATGTCTTACTCCTCAGCTAGCAGCACCTGTAGCGAGGATTCTCATTTAGCAGTTTCAGACAGAAATGCCAAATGTGACAAACTGATCAAAAGAAGCAAAACAAAAGGCAACCAGACAGAAAATAAAGGCTCTAAATTTTCAGTTTTTGCTAAAATACCATCTTTTAGGAGAACAAAGGGCTCAAAAGGTGCCAAAAGTGAGGAGGTAACTCAGGAGTCATCTGTTGGTAAAGGTGAGGGTCCTCTGACAGAACCAGGGCCACAAAAGTACAATTCATATGATGAGGTTTTTGTCAAAGATGACACCCTCAACCAAACAGTCCACCAAGCGTTTTCCCCAGTGCATAATGAGACTGACGAAAAGGACTGTGGCTTTTTCCTCTCTACGCCCCTCACTCGCCATGATAGTCAAGGGAGTAGTGATGTGGGTAATGAAGGATTAAGCTCAGATAAGACTCTTCTTAGGCAAGGTCAGTTACCTAATGGGCAAACCTGCAAGATGGGCAAGAGCAATGACAGTTTAAACATCTTCATGCGCTTCTCACAAGCTCACAAGTCCCTTTCCGGCTTATTTGAGTCCCGTTCAATGGAAAAGGAGAATGAGGAGCAGGTCACTGCTTCTAGCAAAGTCAAACAGTCCTTGAGGAAACCAAGAAAGACCAAGGAGGCAGAACTGCTGAAAAGAACCTTTTCAATGCCAGCTGGGGAATGTAGCAACATGGCTTCTGGGCAGGACACTGGGGACTTGTTGTGCTTTCCATTCCCAGACAAGATAAGCAATCCAGGGTCACCATCCTCCCTCAGAGCCCTCTGTTACACTGATCCCATCCCCAAGCGGGGAGTTCCACAAAGGAGCAGAAAGCAAAACCCTCATGGCTGCAAATCAGAGGGCCAGAGAAGAAAAGGTTCAACAAATGATCTGCCTGCCATACTGTGTGTATCTGGCCTACCTCCATATTCAGATGACTCTGCAGTCACCAGCCCTATTTCCTGCTCACTAGCCACTTTTACTCATCAGCCTTACTCATTGCCTTCCTGGACTAGGTCCCACCCAGTAGCTAGTGAGGGCTTGTCTGAGAGCCCCCTACGACCAATGAGCCCCAAACCTAACAGCCCTAGGTCAGTGCCTCAGTGCAGACATTTACGTTGCCCTCATTCATCAAGGACCAATTCTGTGTGCCCCATTCCTCCGGGTCAGTCAGTCAGTGCGGAGGGATTGGCAGACCCCCCTGAGAGACCTAAGACCCTAAAACCTTCAACTAGCCCTCTGGGCGTCAGCTTCAGCCCTATGGATGCAACTGAGAGCAGATTAGACAGCCAGTCACACATGAGCCTGTATGCCATTGACTTCACGAATGAATTAGAGGTAAGAAAAAAGACTGCGATACACAGAGTAGATTGTTTAAAAATGTGTAACATCTCTTTAAAAATTTCTAAACCTAATCTTTTATATAAAAATGTTTATTCAAATTCACATTCAAATTTCTGTTAATCATCATAGGTTGAGCTTGGGGATGTAGCATGTCTGCTATTAAGGGATGACAGCTTTACAGATGTTTAATGATTTGTTTAAGGAAACCAAAGCTGGAAATACTCATTTCAAACTCCAGTTGAGAGCTTTCAAGGGTACCTGATAATGGAGTGGTAATGGAGCCACTAAATCTGAATGGCGTCTTTGGTATTGTTCCGTTTCTACACACTGATACTGAACATTGTCTGTGTGGATTGGCCTTTGATTGTTAGGGACTCAACTAATTGCTGTTTCATTCTTTTATATCTATTTAAAATTCCAATGTTTACTTTAGTTTACCAGTATTTTTGCTCTATAGATTTTATAAGTGGTTCAATGTGTAGAACCTTATGGAATCAGCTAATTTAGAATCCAGGGCAGTAAAGACAAACTATCAATCCTCATATTATACATTCTGTTCATGTTTTCAAAGATACCATCACAAACAGTAACTATGACTAACTGGTTCACTGTGAACTCAAAAGGGCCCACCAAACGGCGGTCAGCCTGTCAGCCAGTCCAGAACAAGACAGCTGTTGGAGCTGAAGGGCGAGTGGAAGGCCTCTTTGGTTCTCAGCAGACTGAGGTCTGGCTGCTGGGTGAATGTGCGCCAGCAGCGAAGGCGAAAGTGTTCCGATGACCTCTGGATTGAAGAGCTAAAGAAATTTAAATGCAAACTGGCCAGGACAATCAGGAGCCTTGGGCACCAACGCAACATAGTGATATTTGAAGAGATGGGCAAAGTAAGAAGTTGCCACACTACTGTGAGCTACCAAAACAAATATCCAGAGCTTGAAAGTCTTAGCAGCCATCTTCTTCCTCCACTGCCTTGCTTCTGAGTGTCCATTTGTCCTGGACATTCTCTTTCTCTCTGGTGGCTGCTAACAGTTTTTCTTGGATCTGAAGCTTGTGGATCTCTGTCCTCACTTCACTTCCTGTTTCATGCTTGACCTAATCTATTTCTCTACTTTAACTCACACTTTATTCATGGATGCCTGTTTATCTTGCATTCTTTTCTTTTCATGTCACTTGGTTGTATCCAGTAAGTTATTAATTAAGTCTTTTATTTTTTCATGTCCAGTTTACCATTAGTTGACAAACAAATGTCAGTGATAATATCAGTGATTAAAACCAGACTCTTCCATTTCCACAGACAGATGCAGGGGTCACGCTGGGGCCCATCACGGTCTTCCGGGGGGTGCCCCTTAAGGCCCACTGCTTCTCTCAGAGCACCCCCATTGGTCTTGACTGCCTGGGATGGAGAGGACATATTTCCTACTCTTGTAAGTAGCTCAGTCTTGTGCATTTTAAGATACACATTCACACTCAGGATGGTGAACGGTACGCTGAATGTTGGAACATTCAAGCCTGTGACATTTTCATTAATAGCTGATGTCTCTAACAAGAAGGATGTTTGTTTATTTCATCATGGTGTGCTTGTGTGGTGAGGGTTTCCTGTTGAACTCTCAGAGCTGTCCACCTGTGCAGCTGGCTGGCACTAGCCTATTCTTGTTGTAGTAAAAAACAAAAAGAAATGACTGACCTTGCATTAAAATGGTAGAGACTACTAACCTACTTTTAAGACCAAAGCTTTGTGGCTGCAAAGTGATTAGCTTGTTTAATTGAATTATATGTTCATTGTGGAAAAGGTGATTTTTGTCCCTAGTAGTGTAATCAACATTATATTTCACTGTGAGATACTGTGTTCTACTGTCCCAAATGAGGAACAGCTGTGCTCCATAGTAGTGCACACATCACTGGATTTATGTTTAAACTAGAATTGCCAGACATCTGTCCAGACTCATAAACTGTATGGACTTTGAAAGAAGGTAATAAAAGAGATAAGAATAGGCAGGATGTGAAGTCACTGTGACCTTGACCTTTATTCTTTGACCACCAACGTCTAGTCAGTTCATTCTTGAATTCAAGTGGGCACTAGTGCCACATTTGAAGAAATTCCATCAAGTTGTTTCTGAGATATAATGTTCACAAAAATGGGCTGGACAGATGGACAAACAACTTCAAATGTTACTGTAATGATTTTAAAGATAGACTTTTTTTCAGAAAATCAATTCCTATTCATTGATACACAGGGGTCGCTAACCTGCAGGCACCATTTTAATCTTATTGTTATGATCCATTTTGTGGTAGTCCGGATCTTGGTTTTGGTTTTTGGATGCAGTGCTTGTCTAGAACATGCATTCACAATATTGCATGCCTGCATAAAACACTCAGACTCATCTTGTCATGCATCCAATCACGGGCTCACACAGTGACGTCAGTGACCTAGCTGCAGATATTTCATTTTAATTAGATTCATTGGATTAATTGACATGCGAGCTGCACTAAAGGCAAGTGCAGTGTCATCTTGCTGGCTGGCTGGGGCTGAGAATGGCACAGTGCATATAATAAAGCCACTTTGATCATTTTACACAAGTTCTGCTTTATCAGAGTAAAGTGATATCTCTCCTTTTCTCATGTAATCTTCTTTAAGTTGGTCTCATTGCTTGTTGGGGAACACTGGCTTGGCACTGCATCTGAAATATGGCACCAATAAAGTTGGATCGACAGAATGTAAATGTATGCAATGTCCACACTCCACTGTGTGTGTGTGTGTGTGTGTGTGTGTAGTGCCTCAGATAATATCTAGATACTGCTGTTTCTCTCACTTTACATTTTCATCCACTGGACCCTGTATTGCGTGTGGGCTGACAGAGAGCAAAACACTAAACTGATCAACACGCACCAGCTCTCTGTGAGCATGGACGGATTATGAGACACTGGGCTCCTGGGCACAGACATGTAAAAGGCCCCTCACACAGGAGCAAGACCCTCAGATGGTAGTTTTGCCTGTATAGTTTGTTGTTTTGCATCTTTGTGGTCATTTTGCATCTTGTTTTAATCATTTCTATAATTAGGTGTGGTCATTCTGCATCTGTTTGTAATTGTGCTGTTTTTGGTCATTTTCCATTTCTTTTTTAGCAGTTTTGCTTCTCTTTTTAGTCACTTTGTATCTCATTGTGGTTATTTTTGTCTGTTTTATTTGCTTTTGTCTATGAGGTTGCTCTTCATGTCTATGTGCTCATTTTGCATCTATTTGTTGTCGATTGACTTTCTAACAAAAATATGTTACATACATACAGAAGCTCTGGTTCAGCCCCACCTCCCATCTCTTGGGCTCCTGGCCCTGTGCCCGATAGGGCCAGTAATCCATCCAAGTCAGTGAGGGAGGTTAAACAGCAGGAAACAGAACCTAAACTGGGTATGAATACAAAGTAATTGTGTTATTAAAGTAAAGTTTAGCAAGGAGACATTGATTTGTATAAAGTGATACATTTAGGGATGTTAATCAAAATTACAAAAAAAAAATGTTTCACTCGCCTCTTGTGGTATCTATCCACACAGATTTGAACTGATTTGTCTAGATCTGGTGACACGACATAATGTGTTGTCAAGGAAAGGTATATTTTGCAAGAAAGAGAAAAAGTGTTTGTTCCTATGAAAACATGTTAGCATGCTTTTAAGTTCCTATGAAAACATGTTAGCATGCTTTTAATTTCTTGATGAATGCTGTGATCAACACAAACTAAATTCCGTCTTATCTGCTGTACTAAGGTGGATGCAGAAATTTCAGAGACAGACCAAACAATTAATCAGTTAATCTGTAAAAGAACTGGCATAATGAAAATATTAATCTCACTCACTACATGGTGACATCACTGCTTGGTATGGTCAGAGGTGCAATAGAGCATTGTTTCTGGGAGGGTGAGGGTGGAAGGTGGGGGTCTGAGGGAGGAGGGAGGGGTGGCTCATCTCAGTCTCCACCTTAATGCATTCTGCACTAGCAGTGAGCTGTGTACACTGTTGCCTGTGGGCAAACGACACAATTGTGCTGCAGAAACCCCCTTCAAGGGCCCCCATTGATGTCAACTTAGGGAGAAAGAGAGAGAGAGAGAGAGATGGGTGGACTGTATGAGAGTTAATGTGAGGACATGTAGCAGTGTGCAAATGGGTAGAGAGAAAGAGGAGCAGAGAGAGAGGAGGCAGCGGTTATATGAGAGCTGATACATAGCAGAGAGATGACGAAAGGAGATCTCTCCTGTTCTGTGCAAGCTTATAACATACAGCGAATAGTGCAGCAGATATCAGCCAGGGGGCCACCTCCTCCTCCTCCTCCTCCTCCTCCTCCTTCTCTGCGCTTACTCCCTGCCGCGGAATAAACCACCAGCTCAGCAGCATCGCCTCCTCTTCATTTCCACTTATTTCTTCAACACAGACTTTCATTTCCCCTCCCTTGTTGTTGTGCGCCCAGACTGGGATGCGGACCCAGCAGGGCTCGGAGGGGGGCGTGCCCTTGCCTGGGGGCAGCTGTGGCAGCAGCGGAAGCGGCAGCTCAGGGCTATCACCTGGGTCCGACTCGGACGGAGGGAGCCTGACAGGCGGAGGGATGGACAGTATGGTAGACGGAGGTCTTGGGGTGGGTGGGTGCATGGGTGGAGGCAGTGGAGGAGGTAGTTTAGGCGGCACTCTGAGGGGGATCCTGTCTCATTATTGGAGCTTAGAGAGTCTGCACTCCACTACAGGTAAGTGCCTTGCACACATGGCACAGGTCTGTGCTTATCTGCCTCAAAATCACCAAACTGCAAGATGTAATTTGCATCTTGAAAATAAAAAGTTTAAATTTTCATGCCCATGGATGCATAAACTTCACTTGTGTATGTGACCACACATGCACACAAGCAGACTGACAAACCACCATGAGGTTGGTGTGTTATTCGGGGTTGGACTGGATGTACAGTGAGGACATTTTGACTGGTCCTCATTTATCACATGCCTTCAAAGGTCTGTTTGAAGGTTAAGGCTTGGTTTTAGGGTTGGAGGTAGAATTAAGTTTAGGTTGGGGTTAGGCATTTAGTTTTTATGGTTAATGTTGGAGATGCATTAGGTCAATAATTGTCCTTACAAAGATAGCTATACAAATGGGTTTGTGTGTGTGTTATGCCAGGCCTTCAGGTGGTTGATGTGTGTGAGGGAGCCAGTTGCTCTTCTGTTTAGTCATGCAGAGAGAATACCATCAGCTTTCAGTTAACAGCACAGTTTCTCATGGTGTCTATATATGTGCATGTTTGCCATGGTTGTACTCATGGTAGCTGTCAGGTAGTATATAGCCCAAGGAGACTGCCTGACACTCTGAACTCTCAGGACTAGGCTTTGGTATCATTTGAAATAAAGGTTCATGGGCAGAGTCTAACCAACATTATGCTAATAAGAGAAAAATTCCCCCACTCGCCCCCCACTTTGGAGTGGTCTTATTTCTTCCTTCAACCTCGGGTCCTCTACCAGGGGCCTGGGAGCTTGAGGGTCCTGTACAGTATCTTAGCTGTTCCTAGCACTGCACTCTTCTGGACTGAGATCTCAGATGTTGTTCCTGGGATCTGTTGGAGCCACTCTCCCAGTTTGGGGGTCACAACCCCCAATATTCCAATTACCATGGGGACCACTTGTGCCTTTACCTTCCACATCTTTTCTAACTCTCTTTTCATTAGTGTTTAAAATGTTCACATTTTCTACTCTTGGAAACATGAAAACAGCAAATGTTAGAGTTTTTTCTGATGAATAAATGGGATGATTGATGGGGTTTGCTACCAAGCATTATTTAATATAGAACAATTCATGTTTTTTTCCTATGTAATAGACTGCAGAATTTGGGTTTGTTTCTCTGGACACATTGTCATCAGCAGCAGTTTCTTCTCATAAACAAGCTGCCAGTCCTGCAGTGTGATATTGTTACCTCTGCCGAGTTGGTTATGTTATTACCACCATTTGCTGGTTTGTTCACATCATACCTCAGAAAGTTATGAATGGATTTGGAAGCCATTCTTTGGAGAGGTAGGGTATGGCTCACAGTGCAAACCATTAGATTTTGGCAGGGATCCAGTTTTATAATGGTGCCTCCTTGATTGTCTGTCTTGTTTGTTTTGTACATGAATGTTCATCCTGTGATAAACTGTCAGCTGGGATTGGCTCCAGCCCCCTGTGACCCTAGTGAGGAATAAGCAGTGTAGATAACGGAGGGATGGATCTATGTTTGCATCTCATAACGTATTTGCATGCTTTACCAGCCCTGATAGCTTATTTTTCTATTGCTTTCATGAGACTATGTTCATTGCCATTTTCTGATAAAAGACCAGGAGGAATATCAAAGAAACTGGCCATAAGATCTGAACTTTGTATGGCTGTGAAATGCAAAAATGACAGCAGCAAAATCAGTGAAGGGGAGACA